CAAAGTGGCACTAGGCCCAAAGTTCGGGTATTGAATTGTTACATTTCAACCACTTAACGGCTAGTTAACAACTGGTTAACGATAGGTATTGGATTGACATGTTCTGAAAGTTCGGGTATTGAATTGTCACATTTTAAAGTTTGGGGACCAAAGTGGCACTAGGCCCAAAGTAGAAGGTGCTAATCAGGAATTTTCCCATATGCTTTTAATTAGATCACATTATTTGATTCGATCTAATCCAAAAATCTAATAGGGGGATATCCAAATCCAACAATCCGACAAAATAGGATCAGATCAGTTCATGATGATTCGATCCATTTTGCACCCCTACCTAGACAAACTTTGGCCTTTATTCTAAAGGACACTGAGGAAATATATGCCATGGTCCACTTGATCCACTTTTAACAAATTAGTTTTCTTAAGCATTCCTTAATAAATTTCCATTCCAACCTATCATAGGCTTTCTCTATGTCTAGCTTACAACACATCCCTGTTTTAGTGCCCTTAGTTTTCCTAAGGGAGTTAAAGATTTCATGTACAATTATAATGTTATCCATAATATATCTTTTGTATATGAAGGAACTCTGATATGGTGAGATTATCTTTTCCAAGAGAAGTCTCAATCTATTAACCATCACTCTATTTTTTTGTTTGGTGATACACAACACTAATAACCCCCTTCTATGCTAGAACGAACCAACTAACATACCAACTGAGCCACCCCTCTAAAGCAAACCATCACTCTAGTTCTGATCTTATAGATAGCATTACATAGGCTAATAGGTTTTTAGGTTCTCTATATTCTAAGGGTATGTTTGGTTCTCAAGAATAGAGACACAAAATTGGAATCGGAATTGCCCATTCCAATTCCAACCATTTGGTTGTGTGTAATCAGAATTGGATTCCCACTCCAGGCTGAATGGTATTCCCCCATTTGAGGGAATGGCCATTCCCTACCCACCCTCTCAGAATCAGATTTCTATTCTAGTCGATTAAAACAAGAAAATGAAAATGACAAAAAAAAACCCTCAAACCCCTAATTCCAAGTTTCCAACCCCCTTTCTCATCTCTCATCACTCCCTCCTTCAAACCCTTCAACAATTCGACAGCTGAACTCTGAAGATCTAACCTGAACTACTCCAGCTAGGTAAGTGATCATGGATCTCTCTCTCTCTCTTTCTTCTGGGAAAAGAAAAGTAAAAACCCTATTATAGGTGGGCGCTGCTTCCGTTTTTGCGTCTTGAGTCAAGTTTGGAATTGAGCTTTCATGGCAATGACAGCAGGAGGAGTAGGTGGGAAATTCTAGAAGAAGCCGTTTTGGAGAGTCACATCGACGCCTTACGATAGGCCGGCAAGCGTTGTCCCGAACCCCATAGACGTGGGGAGAAGAGGGTGGTTGTCGAAACTTGTTGGTCCATCTTCAAGGATTATCACAAAAAGTGCATAGTTATTCTTCTTGTCTGTGTTCCGCAAGGGCCTCCCTGCTCCCCCGCCCATTTCTGGTTCAATTCATCCTGCATTTCTTTGATCACGTGCTTGTTCTCGTTTGTTTTTGATGCTTCTGCACGACTCAGTGGTTTTGTACTTGTCATTCGAGAGTGTTTGGATTGGATTAATTAGATCCAATCTGATCCATTTAAATTTAAATGGATTGGTTTGGGCTTGGTTTGTACTAGATTTGGATTGGATTGTATTGGATCCCATCCATTTATAAATAGACACAAGTTGGATTGGATTGGACCAAACCTGGTTTAGTTGATAGCCCTATCTATCTCTTTACATGTTAATTGGATTGTATTGGACTTGGAATTTTTATAGATTTTTTATTAGGGGCAAAATTAGAAATCATGGTTGATTCTGATTGTGGCCTCTTCATGAACCAAACAAGTAGGGGGAATAGACCATTCCGATTCTGATTCCAAGGGATTCCCATTCCAATTCCGATCACAAACCAAATGGACCCTAATTCATTCTAGACTTTGAGATTAAGGTTAGGTTCTTTCATCATTTTCTCATGGTAAAAACATGCCTTGATCATATTAATCACACTTCCATGAACAATGTCCCAAAACCTTTTGAAAAGATAGCATTGAGTTGGGGGTGGATTCAAACTGAATTGAGCCAAATATTGAGTTCAGCTTGCCAATAAAGTATAAGGCTCAATTTTATTATATATATATATATATATATATATATTATTTTCTACAAGGCTTTTTACAAAAAAAGTAAAAAGTTTCACTTATTGAAAAGATCAGTGACGTTTTAGAAAAAAATGTTCATATCTGTGAGCTTAGAAAATAAAATTTATCTTTGGACAAAATTACCCTTTTCTTCCCTTCGAAGATTTTTGGGTGATGTTTAACCATTATCATGTTGTTGTTAAAATGGCTTTGCTAACCATCCGATAAGAGAATAAAAGGACCAATCATCTGAGATAAGAGGAAGGGAGGATCCTGCACTCACTAGCCCGAGGGCCCTACTCCGTTCCACTGCCTAGACTATCCGTCGTGATGCACCTCCTAGACAAAAGGTGGGTGGGATTGCAGCATGGAGGAGTAGCAAAAGTTTTGCTGAGCTTGGTTAGTGACCGTTTAGCTTTTTTTTTTTGAGTGAACTCAATTTCATTGTAATAATCATCCTAGGGTTCAAAGTCAAAGATGTCAATATCCAAGAACTTGGACTTCATTGATCAAGGGCTACAATCTGTAACAGTTGCAACAACTGTTACTCGACTCATGGCCACCCCTACTTGCTAGAATATCCCCTATAGTTTCATGGATTTATTTAAACATGTTTTATAGTTTTCATTTTGCTAAAACACCCCTATAGTTGTAAATAATCTTCCACTAAGAAGTATTTGTTTTGTCATCTAAAAATAGTAACATGATCACCTAAATTGAGAGGAAAATGTTTAAGGGCATGGCCCTGTGATTGTTTATTCCAGAAGTACCTCTAGCACTTCTTCATATAGAAGATAAAATTGACTAAATAGAGTGGTTGCTCATGTCTTATTAGGGGCAAAAATGGTATTTTCATTTTTCTTTTCTTTTGATTAAATTTATTCAAATAGACAATAGGGTCAAAATTGCCATTTTTCAATGCCATCTAATGGAAGGTCGACATTAAATCCATTATAAACTATAGGGGTTGTTTTAATAAAATGCAAACTATAGAATAGGTTTTAATAAATCCATAAAATTATAGGGGGTATTTTAATAAATAATCCTTAAAAGGCGATTTCATACGTTAACTTCAGTGGTTCAGCCTCAATTTCTCATAACATCCCGTACAACGCACGGTTCCCAACTGGTGAAAAGTGAAGAACAAAAGAGGCGGGAAAAAAGAGAGGAACAGACAGAACCAGAACCAAGATTGGACAGAACCAAAGATTGGACATTGGATGATTGGAACAAGAGACTGAGAAAGATGAGAGGAGGAGCCGGTGGGCGGCGACGCCCAAAGGACTCTCTGCAAGATTGATTTCCGGTCGACACTCGCTAGTTAAGCACCATCCGAAACCGAGATTCTGACGCCAGTTACTACAGCAGCCGCCCCTCCAACTCCTCCATTGGGATCGGCCGCGCCCCCGCCGGCCCCATCACGATCGCGTCCATCAGGCCTCCGCCATCCGCGTCATCAACGCCTACCTCGCCTCCCAATCCTTCTCCACCGTCCTCAAACCCCCTCTCCCCTCTGCCAAAGACATCACTGACACCATTCGCTTTATCTTCACTCGCCTCGACTGGCCCTCTTTCAAACTCGAGGAAGATCTTCCCCTTCTCCTCAAATACCTTAATTGCCCCTTCAAGCTCAACAAATCTGCCCTCAAAGCCCCCGGAACTCCTCACTCCTGGCATTCCCTTCTCACCGTCATTCACTGGCTCGTCGAGTTTGCGCTCTACAACGATCACATCGCGTCTTCTCCGACAACCACGACACATTCACTCTTCCGAGATAATAGGGTTCTTACTCACAT